TCGTAGTTAAAAATTCTTCTTTCTAGGTACCTGTTGATGATCTCGACGGCGCTCCTATTGACGACGAGCCATTTGTGGAAGAAGAGGCGAAGAAGCCCGTCTTCAAGAGTGGCGGCTGGGCCGAGGTGGAGCCCGTGGAAGCCCCGCCGGAAGCGCGCTCCAAATGGGACTTTGAGGACGAGGAGCGGGGTAAGAGGTTATGCATCGTTTCGCTCTTCTCTCTCTCTCTCTCTATCTATCTCTTTCTCTTCCTCGCTCTTTCTCTCTCTCACTCTCTATCTCGCTCTCTCCCTAAAGCTATATTTTTTCAGGCTCCAAGAACAAATGGGACGAGGAAGAGCACCAGCCCCTCTACACCCAGCAACCAGCCGAATCCTCTTTTAGTAAGATTTTGAAAGCCTGAGCTAATGATTTCTTTGTTTCTAGATCGTCCCCACAGCGGCACCGACGATGAAAACAGCCGGCCACGCCTAGACGATTCGGCTTCGAAATGGGAAGACGACGACAATGGCGAATATTCACCGGGTGAAATTGCGAGCCCAGTTCGAAGGTATGCACATTTTTAATTTATATTATCATTTTTCTTTGCCTTTCATTCTTGAAAAAAAATCAAGAAAACTACTGAAAAATATCTTAAAAAATTCAAGCATTTTTCAAAAAATCGATATTTTGGACAAAATCGGCCATTTCTGGTTGAAAAATCGATATTCTTGATATCTTTTAATAAAAATTTGTAAATTTTGTACGTTTAGGAATGGTAAGAAGCCGTTCAGAAACACTTCCGCTTTTTGTATTTGGAATTGTCAATGCTGAGAAAAAAAAGTTGCCCACTTCCCCGATAATGCGAAACAACCCACATTTCTTTTACTTCCGTTAAAACTAGCCGCTTGAACAAAACATTAATCTTTTATTTCCAGTGAGAACAAGCCCGAATCCCAAATCGTTCTCGAGAAGATGAACAGTGAGCTGAAAGGAAAAGCGGACGCGTTGCGACGTCAGCTTCTCGAAGACAGGGAACCGGATTGTGAGATGATCGTCAGGAGGTTAGCTTTCGTCTAGTGGCATCATCGTTTTTTTCAGATTTGAAGCCGAGCAGCGCGACAAGATCAACAAGGTCGTCCTGGAGCTGGAGGCCTGGAGGCCAGTAAAGTTTTAAAACATCAAAAAATTTGGGGTTTTTTTAGAAAACCCGTAAAAAGGAGAAGAAGGAGAGCAAGCGGGAGAAGGAGAAAGACAAGGAGAAGGAGGGCCGCTCCACACGCAGCTCGATAAGTGAACGGGATCGGGATAGAAGGTACGTTTTCAAGTCTCGACTGCCGCGGCAGCGATACGCAACGCGCGGAATCCATTACGCAATGGAAAGGCGGGCTATGCGTTACGTATCGTAGTCGCGGCCATATCGTTAGGGTTTAGCCATTTTTTGGAATTTATTCACCTTTTTAGGAGATCACGCTCAAGGGACCGCAATCGCAGCCGTGAGCGCAGTGAGCGGGATCGGGGCCGTGATCGCGATCGAGACAGGGAGCGTAGAAGAAGCCGCAGTGCTGATAGGTGGGTTTTTGCGTTTCAGAGACTTCCGGATTCTTTGGCATTATCGGGGGGACAAGTTTTCAAATACGAATAGACGTAATTTGCCTAAACTGGTTCATACCACAATTTCCTGATTTAGAATGTTTTTCTCTGTATTCTAAATATCGTTGCGCGCAAATATGGCTAGATTTTGCAAAAAACTTTTTTATAATACGTGGTATTACATTAAAATAGGCACATCTAGGTTTTTAAGAGAAACCCTTGCCTCCCCGATAACGCTAAAGCACCTTTTGTTTAGAAATCGTGACCGTCACTCGGAGCGGGATCGCCGGAGGAGTCGAAGTGCAGACAGGTATCAAATAAATATTCTTTCATTTAAATTCTCGTTTAGGGATCGCCGAAAAAGCCCGGACCGGCGCCGTCGTTGATTTTTGCCGTCTGCCAGAAGCCGAAGAAATTTATCGTATCCCACGCTCCCCGGTTACCCTCATTGTTGCCTGTTGCTCCCCCGCTGTTTGCCCCCATCATTTCGTTGACCCCCTTATGCGAGTATTTATAGTGAATATTCCTTTCGTGTTTTAGCATCAATAAACGTTATAAATATTTTGTGCTACGCGTCAAAGAAAACCTGTAAGAGCATTTCATAGTATTGCTAGAAGGCGTCGGCGCCGGACTTTATGGAATTTCGTTTTAGTCTATAAGATTATTCGATGAGATGGCCGAAGGAGAAGCTAAAAAAAGAGCCGGAGGTACTGTATCTCTACTGGTTTTTAGGAAAAGGAAACTAGCAGATATTATTGAGGCAAGGACAGGCTAGCAGAGATCCTTTAGAAAAGGGCAGGCTAGCTGAGATTCTTAGGATAATACAGGCTAGCGGAGATTCTTTAGGAATTATGACCGTGCTAAAATGCTCTTTATTCAGAACCCGGCATTGATGCGACCGACGAATCAACTCGAAAGAAGCCCAAGCAAACCCGAGCGACATTTGTAGCCCCGCTGCAAGGTTTGGAAAGCTTTTTTGAAAAACAACCATAATTTTTGTAATGTGACCGGCGAAAATAACTTTTTGTCGGTTGAAAGTCGCGTAAAAGTTCCCTCCTAGTGATAGGAGTTGCTTAGCTGTGTTAAATTTACCCTTTAGAAGTCGGAATCGGAGCATCTGCTCGAAAGAAAAAGCCCAACCTCCTACGGCCAAGCTTTGTGGTTCCCCAAGAGGGTAGGCTTGAAAGCGGCTAGTGCGATTGTGACGTTTTCAGGTATCCGGAACGGCGAGGGTGCCCTCTTCCATCACACGGGTCCACGTCGGCTTTGCCAAGAAGGGCTGCAACGGCTCGAAGAAGCTGGAATCACCATCAAGACTACCCAGTTTGACAAGGTGGCTTGCAGTCGTTTGCCATTGAACGCTACAATTGGTTTAGCAAGAAGACGAGATCTTACAGCGGAACTGGTACGAGTTTGCCGACCAATACGGGCTCGACGACAAAGATGTAACGCGTTTTAAACGATATTAATCCTTCCATTGGCAGGCTCTCTCGCTTTCTGGCGTGAATGCAAAGTCAAGAGGTGCTGGAATGGATGAGCGTTCAATTTTCATCCAGAAAACCCAGTTCTTCCCCAAAATGTGCCGCAATTTGGAGCACAGGACTGGCGAAACGGTTTTTTTAGACACAATTTTAACCACAACCTAGGTGATCACGGCAATGCGCCGTTTGTTTGATCCAAATGCGCTCGAATCTACCCGAGACGTTGCGATGAGATTTACGGAAGAAGAAGATCAAATGCTTCGGGTAATAGGCGATTCGTTCATTAAAAGCCATTCCAGGAATATTACGAAAAGGGCTGGACCCTCTTCAAAATCAGCGAAGTGCTGAAGAAAGCGCAAGGCCGTATCCAGTCTCGTATCAAGTACATAAAATCGGAATTCAAGTCAATCCTGGTTTAGATATTTTCGAAGGCTCGGCCTAACCAGGACGAGGGGCGTTTCGATAATGGATGTGAATCCAAAAACGGACTTCTTCTGGGCGACTTCGTACACGCGGGACCAACGGAAAAGCTATAAGCTGCCCGAAACTGGGATCCTTGACGAGAATGGCGATTTGTTTTATCATGGAAACCCCAAGTTTAAGCTGACCACACGCTGCCTCGAGCGCCTGCAGGTGAGTTTTGTCGCCCAGAATTTTCTCACTGGGGTTTCCTTCAGGAACATGGCGTCGTCATTCAAGCCACCCACTTCAAGGACGCCGAGAAACGAAAAGCCCTCAGAAATGCGACGGTACTAGCTTGGAATCGTGCAAAAATTTCTTTAGAAGCTAATGAAGGAATACCGGATGAGCCGACTGCTTTTTATCTGTATGCTCAACTATACGAAATACGCGAAGGCGTTATATAACCGAAACGAGGCGATTTTGGAGGGTATTTTTGCTCCTTTAATTCCTTGATTAAACAGCGGTTCCAGCCGAAGATCATCGTTTCTTTGATTGGACCTTCCAACAGCGACAACTTTTCACGGCCGCGAATCGATTCTGGCCGAGGCTTTGCGAAGGGTTGCCGACGCGTGTTACGCCCGCCGTATGCGCTGTGGTATGTGAGGTACGCAAAGGTTTCCCGAAAATATAGGAATCGTTTCATCCAAAATGTTTGAAATTGTCGAATATCAATAGCAGCGGTGTTTCCTAAATCTTTTTACTGTTTTCAGTCGTAATTAAATTCGTAATTCGTAAGTACGTTGTTTGCGTAGAAAAACGATTCAAAATGCAAAAATATCGATTTGCTTTTTGGCAAAAGCTCAATTTCGGCGAAAAGTCCCGAAAGAACCCGATCGGGCAGTAAATAGGGCTCATTTGAATTTTTTTCAGCTCATCGACCCGGCAAACGATTTTCCTGGTGCGATGGATGCGTTGACGCAGGAGCAGTACTACGAGCTCGACCGGCTCTATCGAATTCATCGCAGCGGCTCGCTGGTAGGTTTTGGGGCAACGCGGAAAATTCCGTTCCTGTTAATAGTATTTGTTGTATTTTTATAGAGTTTTTCGTGTTTATTTTATTGCTAAGAAAAAATTTTGAAAGATTGACAAATTTGAGCTTTTGATCATTTTTCGTCAATTTTTACCATTTTTTGACTAAGTTTGTACATCGAAAACTGTGAAAATACTATCAAAAGAATTTACCCGATACAGGGGAAGAAAAGGCAAGGATACAGCTAACAACCAGACATCATTTCAGGCAGCCGTCTGGCTAAAAAAGCCCTTACGCAGAACGATGGCCGCCCTTCAGCATCACCAGCTACGGTCAATGACGCTGCGACGCTCGGAGCGCCGACGATTGTGGTCAGTGAGCATGAGCAGAAGAAAATAGATAAAAAGCTATATAAGAGCCATGTAAGCTCCATCGAAGCTCATTTTTCAGGAATATTTTGGGGCGCCAATACGCTGGAGGAGGTCCCAAATTGGTGCGAAGGGAGCTTCGAAAAGGGAAATCCAAGATTGACTTCAAGGTGGTGGCCCGATTGCTTTGTCGGCATATTCACGTAAGCCATAATTTCCGTCGTTTAATGCTTTTTTCAGATTGTCCGCGACGCCTGGCGAGAGATCATCGACGATTTCAAGGAGGCTCTCTTGGATAAGCCTTTCGATGAAGCCGTTGAGGTATGATCATTCCTAAGATGACAGTTCATTTTTAGGAAGTCATCCCAAAGCCCTATCCGATCACCGGCCGAGAATTCCACGATTTTATCGAGCTTTTCATCGACTACAACCCGAACGTGATCATGCGATATATGAAGTAAGATCGATGGTTCTTTACTGTTATCGGGGGGGTCGGCATTTTTTCATATTTTCCCCGCACGTTTTTACTAAGACAGCTGTGTGAAACGAAAAATCATTTAAGAATCGTTAGAAACATTTAAAAATTGAAAATTTTTGGAAAAATCTAGCATTTTCGGTCAGAAAATCCATATTTTTATATTTTAATACTATTTGTGTAAAGTTTTTTACGTTTATGACTAGTAAAAAAATTTGTAAAGCTTCCCTAAAATTAAAATCGATAAATCGGGTCCTGATTACAAGGCAAAAATGAAGTACAATCGAATAAAGGAATAAGGTTGCCGTTTTCAGGTTCAAAGACGCTGATAGGCTCCGAATGGAGCGAGGCATGATCCGCCTCGGCCTCACCGGCTTCTACACGGGCCCCCGGACGGAGTTTCAGTAAGTCTCAGCTTCTGCTTCTTGATGCATTTTTAGGTACTGTATTGTCCTGCTCCGTCGGGTCATCTACCAGGTGTGCGAGAAGCTGAAGCCGGTGGTGGATTTGACGACGGTGTCGCGGAAGGACGCGTTAAAGGTGAATTTTTGTAAAAGAAATTGCTTAAATGCGAGCTGAATTTTATTGAATTCATTTCCAGGTGCTCTCCAAGTGTTTCGCCGCTCACGGCGACAAGCCCTTCCGAAACCTGGCCTGTAAGGATTTTGTTGACATGTTGCTCAGGTAAAACGGCTATTTTTCATTTATATAGTTTTAGGCACATGGCCGAGAATCATCCGGATTGGCAGCCACCGGAAGGCCTCCTGAATTGGGCCGAGAAGTTGGCCGAGTTACAGGAGAAAGACGGCCACTCGAATGTGCCTAATTAATTCGTTAACAATACATAATTCTCAAGCATTTCCCCTTGATCTCCCCGACTTTGTGATCTCTTGCTACGGTTATTTGTTGTTACTCGCTTATTGTTTTTTTTTGCGAACTTTTAAAGTTTAAATAAAGTTTTATACAACGTAACGAGGATGGATACGGAATAGGGATGCTTATCCTTCCACATGCCTTCAACTTTAACCCTGCCGGCCTAAACGTGAATTGCTTCTTCAAGCTTCTACTTTCAAAATGTATAAGCCGTGCTTCGAAAACAGTACTTTTAGCTCATCTCATGGATGCTCAAGAAGAAGCAGAGCGCAAAAGGGAGCACGAAGGTATGGATCTTTTGCTATTGAGGTAAATGACGACTTTTAAAAGTTTAGACGATGAAAATGGCACAGAGGAACAACCGGCTCGAAAGAAGAATAAACCAAAGCGCACCTATTTTGTGCTTCCGCTGCAAGGTATGTTGTTTGGATGCCGAAAGAAGTTTATGACTCAAATGATGGATATTAAATAGTTATGATTATTTATAGGGATTCGTAACTGTGAGGGCGATCTCTTCCATCATACCGGCCGGCGTACACTTTGCGAAAAAGGACTGCAGCGGCTTCAAGAAGCTGGCATCACAAATAAAAACCAAGCGCTTTCAAAAGGTTTGCTAGAAAATTACGACGAGCCTTGTTCAGACGGAGGACGAGATCATTCAACGGAACTGGTATGAATTTGCCGATCAATACGGGCTCGACGATAAAGACGTAAATCTTCTGGATTTGAAATAGGGTTCGGAATTAGATCCTGTACCTCTGCGGCGTCAATGCAAAGCCAGGACCCACAGTGATGGACGAGCGTGGAGCTTTCATCTTGAAGACGCACTTCCTTCCGAGAATGTGCCGGCATTTGGAGCAAAGGACGGCAACAGCGGTATCAAATCTCAGTTAGTGGGTATACCCCAATACTCTAGGTAATTGAAGCGATTCTGCGTCTCTACGATCCCGTTGCAAAAGATCCAAACATCGACTATTCTTTGAAATTCACGAAAGAGGAAGATGACATGCTTCAGGTATTAGTTAAATTGGCAACAGTGGAAAGAATTTAGGAATACTATCGAAAGGGCTGGACCTTCTTTAAAATCGCCGAAGCAATGAAAAAGCCGAAGATGCGCATCAGGGCGAGAATCGCGTAAGGACAGGATTGACTGGCACGCAATACTTGTTTAGCTATTTCCGAAAACTGGGCCTTACAAGGACCAAGAATACCCGATCTCACGAAGATGCTATGAGCGATTACTATTGGATGACTTCGTACACGCGTGACGTCCGCTTTCAGATAGGCTATCCGATGCCTGAAACGGGTGTTTTGGACGCAAACGGGGATTTCTTCTATCATGCGAACCCGAAATACCGTCTGACGCTGCCCGTTTTGGAACGCTTGCAGGTCTGCTATGTCATTTTCTGTTTTGCATCAGAGATTTTTTGATCCTAAAATCCTGGAAACTAGCTGCGAGCTATGCTACTATCCTACTATCCTACTAATATAAAAAATAGTTCCTGTGTGGGTGTGTTTGTGCATTTGCATGCAACTTCCGTCAGGTTGTTCCGGTCGTATCTCAAGAAGGAGGGAAGCTACGGGGGTGTTTGATACGTCATTCGGTGCGTAATGGCCTTGGAACGGCTGCACACTTAACAGATTTTGGAAAAAGTTCTTATTTCGACATTAAAACTCCCTTTTTCTAAAATTCCGGGCCGTTCTCTTTGTTAGGAATCAATTAGCATTCTCCGGAAGGAAGGAAGGGAGGGTGCGCTTTTCACATTTTTCACGCTAGAATACGGTAAGAAATATGCAAATTGAAGGCTTTCACAGGTCCTAGACGGGGCCAGGGTCGAAAAGCCGCGCAGCGGTTTTTCAACCCTGGTTTATAAAAAAATCGCGTCTGTGTGTGTCTGTATGCATTTGCATGCAACTTCCGTCAGGTTGTTCCAGTAGTATCTCAATAAGGGGAGTAGTTAAGGGCATGTTTGATACGTCATTAGGTGCGTAATGGCCTGAGGATGACTGCACACCAATAAAATTTTCGAAAATGAGCTGTTTTCGACGTTAAAATTAAGTTTTTTTTGAAAAATCGACCACCCTCTTTGTTAGGAAACAATTAGCATAGGCCGGAAGTTGCGGTAGCCTATATAAGCGAAGAGAGGTAGCGTTTCTCATTTGTGTCATCGAAAATCGTGAGACTTATGCAAAGTGAAGAATATCATGGGACCAGGGTTGAAAAGTCGCGAAGCGGCATTTCTTAATAAGGAATCGTGCTTGTTTGTGAAGGGGGATCCATCTGTTAATGCAGTATCCCTTGAAACGAGGTCAAAATGGGTCTTTTGGGGGCTTAGCTTACTTTTAGGACTTTTGTTAGAGCTAAGCTTAAGCTTGGTTTGTATAAAGCTAAGCCTAGGTAGCTTAGCGTAGCTTAGCTTTTTCAGAGGTTAAGAGAAAAACGGCGTTTGGATAGTCTTGTAGTGAAAATCCGGAATACCCCCCCCCCCCCCCAAGTGCATTAGCACCGACATTTTTATCGCTTCTAGAGCCACAACGTCGTAATCGAAGCCAATCGGTTGACGACTGAGGAGAGACGAAAAGTTTTGCGAAACGCTACGGTACATTATTGAGTCACTAAAATGTTTTTTTTAGAAATTGATGAAGGAATTCAAAATGGGCCCGCTGCTATTTATGTGTGTGATGGGTTTTAACAAATATGCGAAGGCTCTATATAAACAACATTCTGATGCATTGGAAGGTGACAGTGCAGCATACGCAATAATCGTTTGATTTCAGCCCCAGACGATCGCTTTTTCGAATGGACTTTCCGGCAGCGCGCCCAATTCACGTCCACGAATCGATTCTGGCCTAGGCTTTGCGAAGGGCTACCGACTCGGGGTACGCCGACCGTCTGCCGCGCGGTTCGGGAGGTAGATGAGGCTTTGCGTAAAGACCGTCGACTTGAAAATGGTTCTCAAGCTTTTATTAATTTGCAGCTGCTCGACCCAGCCACCAACTTCCCGGGTGCTATGGATCCCCTCACCGAAGAGGACTACTACGAGCTCGATCGACTCTACCGGATACACCGCTCTTACTCACTGGTGATTGTTTCTTTCCTAGAGTGCAACCGCTTTCAGCGTATTGTGCATAAGTATCTTCAATCATTTCAGGTCGCCGTTTGGATGCGAAAACCGCTGCGTAGAATCACGCAGGCCCGGGAAATCCATCGACATCGCTCAGTGCCACTGCGGCGAACGGAACGTCGTCGGCTATGGTAATCTGAAGCTGTGCAACAACTCATTTAGTCTTTCCAGGAATATCTTGGCGAAGCACTATGCCGGCGGTGGGCCAAAGTTGGTGCGGAAAGAATTGCGGAAGGGCAGATCGAAGTTTGACTTGAAAATAATGGCTCGGCTTCTTGGGCGCCACAGTCAGGTTAGTCTAATGAAACTTATGAAACTAAATGAATTCTAGATTGTACGCGACGCTTGGCGAGAGATCATCGACGATTTCCGGGAGCAGCTTGAGGAGAAAACGTTCGATGAAGCCGTCAAGGTTGCTTTGCGAGAATACAAATCATAAAAAAAATTCTAGGAAATCATCCCAAAGCCCTATCGAATCACTGGTCGGGAATTTCACGATTTTCTTGAGCTTTTCATCGACTACAACCCGAATGTGATCATGAGGATGATGCAGTAAGCCGTCATTAAAAGGATGCCGACGGCATAATCAATCGGTTACGCGCTGGAAAGAAAATGTCTCTGCGCCTCTCCCCAGGGCGCGCTCTCTGCCCTATTGGCTACTTGCCAATTTGTTGATGGGGGGGGATCGACACATGCCGTCGGCAGCCCTTTAACGTTTTTGCAAAAAATATGTTGTTTAGGTTCCGGGACGCGGATCGACTGAAAATGGAGCAAGGAATGGTCCGCCTTGGCCTCACCGGCTTCTACACGGGATCTCGAACAGAATTCAAGTAAATCGTGTATCCAATTTAACGATGGTCGTAGGTATTGCATTTGGCTGCTAGGTAAAGTCATCTACCGTGTTTGCGCGCAATTGAAGCCGGTGGTCGACTTGACGACGGTGGCGAAGTATGATGCATTGAAGGTATGATTTTGAAGCGGAACAGCCTGCATGGAATAGGCTGGCGTCCTTTTTACACGGTATGCCGGAAACACAGGCGGGCCCTGGGCGCTTTTGTCGTTCTTTTTAATTCTTCGAAATAAAATAGGTGCGCTTGCAGCTTATCGGGGGGGGGGGGCGGTTGCCTGAAATCACTTTGTTTAGCCTATCGCTGCTAATGATAAAATAGCGTTTATTCTACGTATTTTTGGTAGTCTCCGATAACTAAAAATGATATAAACATTTATACTACCGTCATAAAAGCTGGGCCTTTGGCTCAACTGCAAGCATTTTTCATTTGAGGATACATTTAAAGGGGTGCGAATGCATTAGGTGGCCGCCTGTTTCTTCTACATGCAGTCGCTTTTGCACCAACTTGCAGTTTATGCACAACTTAGGTGCTCTCCAAGTGTTTCGCATCTCAAGGCGACAAAGCTTTACCGTAAACTGGCCACCAAGGATTTTGTGGATACGCTGTTGAGGTGAGAAGGTTTTGATCTCATATATAGTTTTTAGTCACATGGCGGAGAATCACCCGGATTGGCAGCCACCGGAAGGACTGCTCGATTGGGCGGAGAGATTGGCCGAGTTGCAGGAGAAAGATGACCCTCGAATGTAAATAACTGATGTACATATGAAATGCACAATGATTTCGAATCGATCTCCGATTACATACCCGCTTGATGTCAGTAATTTGTGATCTCTTTCTGCTTACGGGTTTCCATCTGTTACGTTTTCACTTTGTTATTTATTGTTGGCACGGGTTGTTCAAAAATTTATTCTAGCTGTTGGCCTATTATCCGTTGTTGATTGCAAAATTTGTCAAGTTGCAGGAATAAAGTTTGATTCGATCGATAATGATCAAAAAAAAAGAAGAAAGAGGATGTTACACAACCTTTTTGACCATATTTTGACGTTTATCACTTCAAATTTCTCCCAATGAATTTCTTCACTCAACTCGTCATACCCATCTATCCTGAACCTTTCAGGGTTTCCCTCTTTATCCTAGCTTTTCCGCCATATCTTTTTTATTTTTAGCTCATTCGATGGGGGCGGAAGAGGAAGAACAGACGCGCAAAAGGGAGCACGAAGGTAGGTTTTGACAGTTGTGTTTATAACGACTTTTAGACGATGAAAATAGCCGAGAGGAACAACCGGCTCGAAAGAAGAATAAACCAAAGCGCACCTATTTCGTGCTTCCGCTGGAAGGTATGTCCTTTCGAAACCGGCGTCGATAGCCTACGTTGAATTTCTAGGTATTCGTAACTGCGAGGGCGATTTCTTCCATCATACCGGCCGTCGTACACTTTGCGAAAAGGGTCTACAACGGCTTCAAGAGGCTGGAATCACCATCAAAACCAGGCGTTTTGAAAAGGTTAACTAGCTTCCGTGTTTTAGGAGCAGGTAGTTTAGAGTGAGGACGAGACCATTCAACGGAATTGGTATGAATTTGCCGATCAATATGGACTCGACGATAAAGACGTAAATCGCCTTTATCGTAATAATATCTCCAATTAGGTTCTGTATCTCTGTGGCGTCAACGCAAAGCCAGGACCCACCGCGATGGACGAGCGTGGAGCTTTCATCCTGAAGACGCACTTCTTCCCAAGAATGTGCCGCAATTTGGAGCACAGGACTGCCACAGCGGTACAAAATTTCAGTTAGTGGATATACCCCAATACTCTAGGTAATTGAAGCGATTCTCCGTCTCTACGATCCCGTTGCAAAAGATCCAAACATCGACTATTCTTTGAAATTCACGAAAGAAGAAGATGACATGCTTCAGGTATTAGCTAAATTTGCGACAGTGGAAAGAACTTTAGGAATACTATCAAAAGGGCTGGACCTTCTTTAAAATCGCCGAAGCCATGAATAAGCCGAAGATGCGCATCAGGGCGAGAATCGCGTAAGGACAGGCTTGACGGACACGTAATTCTTGCTTAGGTATTTCCGAAAGCTGGGCCTGACCAGATCCAAAAACGCCCGCAGCGCTGGAGCTTCTATAGATGATTTCTACTGGATGACTTCATACACGCGTGCCCGCAAGTTCGCAAGTTATCCCATCCCTGAAACGGGAATTTTGGACGCAAATGGTGACCTATTCTACCATGGGAACCCGAAGTACAGGCTTACGCTACCCGTTTTGGAACGCTTGCAGGTCGGTTGTGGCGCTTTTCCAGGGATCGATTTGGGTCGAACGGTTTTAGATTTTGGCCGATAGTTGATCGCCAAGATGTTAGGATATAGCTATAGCCTATAGCCTATAGTTGGTCGATTTTTAAGCTACAGCTTTCGATGGCCCTCGCTCTTCCGGTTTGATTATTGTGGATAAAAGGCCCTTAGAACTTTTTAGATAGCCTCACTCTTAGCAAAAAAAAGATGGTTTTGCAGATGTTTTTTACGGTGTCTGATCAGCTTTTAAGCTACACCATTCGATGCGTTTCACTCTCTTGCGTCGGATGATACTCATAAAAACCCCTTTGAAACCTTCTTGACAGCCTCCAAGGCTGGTTTGTAGTCTTGGGTTTTTTCCTCATAAATCGATCCCTAACTTTTTCCTAAAAAATTTCGGCGCACGCCCCCCGCCCCAAAATCTTGGCTACGGTACAGAACTAGGCATATGTAAGCGCTCGTTAAGGCAATAAAGCAAAAAATTCCGCTGCTGGGAGTCGAACCTCACTGCATTTTTTGTGTTTCTTCCTTTCCCCCACTAGCAAGGTAGCTTCAAAACGGAAGTAGCTTTGTAATGCGGTGTCCCTGGAAATTTGTGTCGCTTTTTAGAGCCACAACATCGTAATCGAAGCCAATCGGTTTACGGATGAGGAGAAACGAAAAGCTCTTCGAAATGCTACGGTATATACTATTCCGTCACGAAAATTTTCTTTAGAAATTGATGAAAGAATTCGGCATGAGCCGATTGCTTTTTATGTCTATGATCAACTATGCCAAATATGCGAAGGCTTTATACAAACGACATTCGGATATTTTGGAAGGTGACGACTAATCATAGCTGATAACCGAGATTCATTCCAGCTCCAGACAATCGCTTTTTTGATTGGACCTCCCGACATCGACAACTATTCACCTCAGCAAATCGATTCTGGCCTAGGCTTTGCGAAGGGCTACCGTCACGCGCTACACGACCGGTCTGTACGGCGGTTTGTGAGGTATTTGACGTTGCGGACAGTCTTCAATTTATTGAGGGGCGTTATGTTGCGCCCCAGAAGAAGTTCCCCCTCTAGAGTTCCGGAGAAATGTTCGATTTTGATGGTTTAGATAACAATCGATAGCTCTGTTAAAGGCGAGAAAATATGCGCTCAACTATTTTAGTTTTTTTGGCTGGGGCTTGCTCGACGTTGGACGTGATTTTTGAAACTGCAGGAGTTCCCCAGGTCTTGCCTTACAATCCCTTTTTTAGCAAACAACCATATTGTGTTTCTAGCAGCGATCATTTGAGAAAACGCGTAAAGGGGCTAAGAAATCAAAATTCGAGTGTTCGGGGTCGAACTAATTGCCAAAAAAACCGAAAGGAATACTGCCTTGTAGCCTCGAGAAACCGGGGGTTTTTACGAAAAGGGGCCAAAGATTTGGGAAACCACGAACTGTGCTTGTGCCCAATGGGGCGAACTCGACTTTTTGGGCTCGGGTGGGGACTTTTTCAGAATTCCGCAATTCATAATACGGTTTAAATATACACGACGTACCGTACGCCGTCGCGGCACCATCTGGCTATTTGCCAAGGATCAACGCTGAGGGGCTCTGAGCAGGGGGGGAAGGGTGTTTCGACCAAGGCTTGTAAAAGCCGTGTAAGAAAGAACTAAATATAGGAAAGCACAGAGAGCATATCGCCGCCCTCGAGGAGCTATTGATCGATACCTAAAGCATAAAAATAGGAGTCTCCTACGGAGCACTGGATGGTGTGTTTTTTGGGGCGTATTTAATTTATAGATGATCGACCCATTGAACGAATTCCCTGGTGCGATGGAGCCGTTCAACGACGAGGGCTTCTACGAGCTCGATCGACTATACCGGATTCATGGCAGCGCCTCACAGGTGCTTGTTTCTTAATGCAGCCCAGTTTTGCGCGTAAATAGTAGACTATCTGATTCTTGAGGGTTCGCGGGAGGAATCGATTTTTTTTCTGAGGTGACCAACAGTTGGATTTTTTTTCAGATATTTTTCGAACTTTAAAAAAGTTTTCCGCATTCAATGAATTTTAATGTGCCTGATAGGGTTCACGATACTCTCCGATAAGCGGCTGTTCAAAATCGGTAACAAACATCCTTTAAAGAGATGAGGACGGCATCTGTTGAACCCCCCTTGCGGAGGGGGGTTCAACAGGTCCCGCGGCGATCTCGCGCGAGAGAGGGCTCCCAGGGGAGAGGCGCAGAGACATTTTCTTTCCCTCGCGTAATCGATTGACTTATGCCGCCCCTATCTCTTTAAAGACCACAAAAGGGGTTTTTCGTGCAGTGTTTATTTATTGTGGCGGAAGATAGCTTTTGCGGGTTGCTACCGAGAAGGGGGGGAGTATCGATGATCATCCAAATAAACTAAATAGGCCATGCTGGCGCCATAGGAAGAAAGTCCCCCCGCGGATACTGAATAACGGACTATCTGATACCCGGAGATTGCAGGTCGCCGCTTGGATGGGAAAACCGCTGCATAAAATCAGGCAGGCCTTTAACCAGCATAGGCATCGCTCATTGCCACTGCGGCGAACAGAACGTCGACGGCTATGGTACGCGGAGACCATGGAATAACTCGTGTATTTATCCTAGGAATATCTTGGCGAAGCAGTACACGGGCGGTGGGCCAAAATTGGTGCGGAAGGAATTGCGGAAGGGCAGATCGAAGCTTGACTTCAAAATGGTGTCCAGGTTACTTGGCCGACACATTCAAGTTAGTCAATCTCCTTATATTGAATTAAATGAGTCCAGATTGTACGCGACGCTTGGCGAGAGATCATCGACGATTTCCGGGAGCAGCTTGAGGAGAAAACGTTCGATGAAGCCGTCGAGGTTCTTTTTGCGCAATACTAAATCTTTTGAAATTCTAGGAGGTCATCCCAAAGCCCTATCGAATCACTGGCCGGGAATTATATGATTTTCTTGAGCTTTTCATCGACTTCAACCCGAATGTGATCATGAGAAAGATGAGGTACCGACAGCACCTTTTGGCAAGACTGGTTTTTGTTAAGGTTCCGGGACGTGGATCGGCTGAAAATGGAACAGGCGATGATGCGACTCGGCCTCACCGGCTTCTACACCGGATATCGAACAGAATTTCAGTAATTTCTTTCCTTCTATCCAAACGCTCTTTAGGTATTGTATTAAGTTGCTAGGACAGGTGATATACTATGTTTGCGGGCAATTGAAGCCGGTGGTCGACTTGACGACTGTTGCAAAACAGGATGCCTTGAAGGTATGATTTTGAGGCGGGAATACGTTAAAAAAATCGACTAATACCTCTCCTCGTTAGCATTAGTTAAAGGGATAACGACGGCATAAGTAATCGATGACGCGAGAACAAGAAAATGTCTTTTTTAAGCCCTAATTTTACCTTCTTTTATAAATTTAAAGCTCAAGAGAAGCTTAGCTTGCGCTTAGGCTCAAGTCTGGGCTTCGGATAAGCGCAGTTCAAGCTAAGTTAGACCTAGGCTTAGCTAAGACAAGCCAATTCCGGATCCCCCCCCCCGTTCCCGTCCCAACTGCATTAACGCCCCAAACCTAGGTGCTCTCCAAGTGTTTTGCGGCTCTCGGCGACAAGTCCTTCCACAGAGTGGCCACCAAGGATTTTGTGGATAGGCTGTTGAGGTGAGGAGGTTTTGATGAAATTTAATAGAATTTTTTAGTCACATGGCCGAGAATCAT